TACCTCGGCCCAGCGGCCGCCCCGCAGCGGCGCCGCTCCCGCAGTTCAAACTCGCCTCCGCGGCGGCGCCGCCCCAACTCTCGCGACAACTGCTACTGCTACTGCTGCTGCTGCCGCCGCCTTCCTCCTCCCCCTCCCCGCCGCCCGCTCCTTTTCCGCGGAGTAGAACAGCGCATGCGCTTAGGGGCGCGTGTCCCACCTGGGCGGGAAGCCGCCTGTGAGGAGAAGAGTGAGAGACCGGGGGGGGGGAGGGACGGACCTTACTCCTCCCGTACGCCTTAAAGAACAGTTGCTCCTTTAAGACCGGTATGGTATGGAGTAGGTGCCAGTGTGGAAGGGTGTTTGCGCAGAGACTACGGGAAGTTCTCTGAAAAGAAAGGGAAGGCAGTAAAGTTAGCAGCTCAGCTCTAGTTCTTCGGCCATACCTCGCCAGAACATAGGAGAGTGGCGGTGCGACGGATACGCTTGGCTCCAGAGCCACAGGCAATGCCACCTCCCTCAGAGAAAGCGTGCAGAGTAAGTGATGAGAGTCAAAGGGTACAGAGTGCTGCGCATTATCTAGGAAACCTGCAAAGGAGAGGGGCAGTCAGCTCCTCCCACGCGGTATTCTACAGGGCAGTTTTTGGTTTTGACAGGAGAATGCCATAAGTGTCTGGTTTATCCCACTACCCGCTTTCCTCATCAAGAAAATCCCCTTCCTCAGCAGGGACTGCTGAGGCTGCCTGCCCCTGAGGAAATGTCAGTGTTTTATTCAACCAAACCTTTCCTTTGATTCTATGGCGCTTACTGTCCAAACTTCAAGAGCTACACAGCAAGTTATAGTGCTTGTAGCATAGCTGTCAACTTCTAACTTCCTATTTTTCTCCTTAGCTTGCTTTAGTTTCTAGTCATCTTCACTTCCTGCACCAGGGAGGAGTCCCAGGGAGGGATTTCATAGTGTTAGATTGTCCAGAATTCATAGATTTCCTAAGCCAGTGAAGATCTGAATAATATCTGCAAAGAGCAAAATTCATCAGCTGGAGCATTTCATCATGCAATTCTGATGGTTATGAGTCCAAGCACAGTTGTCTATGTAGCATTTTCTCTGCCCCAAAAGAAAACCCAAGTAATTTTTACATTTTAAGCTGTGGTTATATTTTTAATCTGTTCTTCAAGATTCACATATTTTTGCACTTTCTCTAACCACATCAGTGAGAATGGAAGGTTTATTCTCATGTTTAATGTGACATACCTAACAAAAGCCACTGCATAGAAACATACGAAAGCAAATTCTGCCTTTAAAGAAACATGCTTCAAGTAATGCAAGGTTAAATTCAAGCAACAGGCTGTAAGTAGATGCAAGGATAGCAATCCTATTTGGAGCAACCAGGACAGAAATAGATGTCTTAAGATAAAAGGGGCTTGGAAAATAAGCATATAATTTAGAATTCTACAGAGAAAGCCAATAAAAGTACTACTACTACTGTCAAAACTATACTACTTCTACTCTTCTATCAAAATGTGAGTCTAGCTTTTGTCAATGGAAATGGGATTAAAAATTAAATACAGAATGGTCTAGACAGGCAAGAATGCCAAGTTGATTAAAACAGGGACAGGAAGCAAGAGAATCCTGTTCTAATCCTGATTCTGCTGCGTTCACCGTGTGATTAACCACTCCAAATACCCACAGCTAAAGCCCCTTGTTTTAAAACAAGGATAACAATGACTTAGTTAACAAATCCATAATTCTCCTGACAGTTATATGAGTAAATCTTGGAAAAATATAAAATACATTGTAAACATTAAGTAGTAACATGATTACTCCACCAGATCAGTTATCTGCCATAGCATGCTAAATCATAAAAGTTAAAATAGTTGCTGCTTCCCCCCCACCTTCAGTCCCACAGTCATGTATAACAGCTGGTGTTTAATACATGAAATAAATTAGCAAACTCCATAATATTGTCCTCAGCTTACAAATTCCATTTATGCCTTTAAAACAGATAGGCGCTTGGATACAAAGTAACCAATTCATTATTTAAAACATGCCATTATCTTCAGAACGGTTCTCTTTTTCTTACTGAATTGGCACTCACTAGGATACTGTTCTACAGATCACATCTAGTTCTTGTGAATATAAAATAGATGCATCAGTTGCTAATAACTTATTAGCAATACAGATTTGTCAAGTGGAGTGATCATCTTGTCAGAATGCTACAAGATCAGTCACGGGTGTTATAATATCTAATAGTTACATAATACCACTATTTACAGTTTGGCTATCTGCCAGGATTCCTTGAGTTATACTTAGCTTTGAAGCTAGATTTTACTTTAAGAGGTTGTAGAAGAACACAGAATGACATGGTCATTAAGTCCATTGTTTGTAGTAAATTTGGTGTTATGGAGACAAATACTTTTGTCCCACTTAGCTATGAGAAGACTCTCACTTTTCATGTTTCTTTTCAGCTTTGGTTGTATTTAGTCCCTAGCTTGCCACTGTAACCATATATTTTCTCTTAGAAACTTTTCTTCTGCCTGTGACCTCAATAACGGCTATTTTCCAGTAGTTACTGAAGCATAAACATTTCCTAAGCGTGTAGTTTTTATACTTTTGTTTGTTGACATTTTAGATCACTAAACTCAATTAAATCTGTGCACTGCTGGCCCTGTATAAAATGTAAATTCGTGTTTTGTAAGTCTTATCTATGCTAGCAGGCAAGAATTCCATATAAGTAATGGAGTAATTACAGAAAGTAGATGTGCTAGGTTTTTCTTCCCCTGAAGAGGAGGCTTGTTGCCTTTATCTGCATAAAAACAAATGACGTTAAAAAGCCCTCTTAGTCTATCTCTGCTAATTGCTCAGTGTAACACATGAGCTGACAAATGTTTTACTAACTGTGCTTAAGATCCCAAATGCTATAGGAAGCAAGTAATAGCAGCCTATTGAGAAACAAATGATTACTAGCTACGTTTAGTAATTTTGGAACAACAGATCGAGGGTTCATTAGAACAAAAATTTGTTGGAGCATTAGGGGGGTTTGTTGTTGTTTGGTTGGTGGTTTGGTTTTTTTCTTACATGGTCTCACTCTTCATTATTTAAGAACACTTAATTTTGCACAATTTGAAGTTATGTTACTTCATTTGCTAGTGCAACTTCCCAAAAGCCCAAGTTTAACTCCTTCCACATTTTTCAGTTGGTAAACATCAAACTGTTCTGCTTTTTTTGAGATGAGACACTTTCACTTTCAATTAAATAGAATTCACAAGTCTGTATGTTTTAATTTATTCCTGTGAATTCGAAGAGCAGTAATACTAATACCCAAGTTGTTTTGCTAGGAATTCAAGTAGCTCAGTAATTACAGCAACAGATTGAGGGCCAGTAACATACTGTTTCTAATCCTCTCTAAACTATTAGTGACTGACCTCATTGAAATCACTTCATCTCACTATTTCAGTCATCTTAGCTAAATAAAGATGTGTTTTGCATTTTTCTTACCAATCTAACCTTAACTAGCCTTCTGTGGCTTCACATGATTACTTGGCAAAACCTATCAAGTATGCGTGAAAGTCTCTTTCAAATACAAACTTCCAGGTACTCCCTTATGAAAACTTTCCAGTACTTTTATTTAGATTTGTTACCTTTTTTACTACTTGCTTGAATGGGTCAAAAGCCTCACACTAAGCTTCCTGGATTTATGTAATCAAGGGATCCAATTATCAAAATATATATTCTTGAGTGTGTAAGTTTAGAGCCAAGCTATGGTGGAAATTTACATTATGACTCAACTAGCATCTTGTAGACTATATCTTCCTTTTTCCTAATTTTCTTTTCATTTTTTTTTTAATAGCAGGTCAAATCGGATGTGTCCTTCAAGTGTTCCAAATATCCATGGTTTAAGTCACAATTGCAAGATTTTGCTAAAAACAACAAGATAATGATACAAGTTTTATGATATTAACTTCAGGAGGTTGATTTTTTTGTTTGTTTATACCTGGTAGCTCAAGAGATCAGTCAATCTCACAGCAAATTTATCAAATTGACGTATAATAGAACCTGGAGTGTACTGTAACTCAAATTAATTTTAACTTTTCCTTTGTTAAGCAGTACCTAGATAAGTCATTTTAACATCACACACTGTACAAGTTCAGATACCTATTATTATCAATCTGTGATTTAATGGTGGTTCAGAACCCCCACTACTTTCTTCCATACATTATGAATTTAATTAATTAACACCAGTTTTCATTCAACCTATTGCACTAATATATAGTTAATTCAGTATTTAAATGCTACTCTCTTCTTCAATAGGAAAGCATTTTGGTAACAGTATCAAATGAGTATTTAAAATTTACATTTTGTGA